TAGCCACGCCCACCCAGTCACATGACAGCTAGCCACGCCCATAAAATAAGCCACACCCACAATGTCCCTCTTTACCAATATTAAAATCTGGTCACCTTAGTATAGCAATATATACTGTAAAAAATGTTTTGAACTGATCCTGTTCCAAAACAATCTTTTGTGGATTCTAGATCTATTTAATCTTATCAGACAAAGTATATAACTAGAAAAAAATGAAGTTAGCAGAACTTTATCCTTCGAAATTATATTAAAATAATGAGATACAGAGAGAGAGAAAATCATTACTAGAAAACTTCTCAAAATTCACATGCAATGTGAGATTTTAAGGGAAAATAATGTGACATTCCTTCTACATTTTCATCCAAACAACTTTTTGAAATCAAATCTGAATATCCAAATATGTATACTGATTTCCCTCTTTCTCTTTTCTCCATACATGCAATCCCTAGGTTAATAAAGAGTTCCATTCTTAACTGTGTCTTTAACTCAAATTTGTATGTAAGTTGGAATCATACATACAAATGGGCTGCCTGTATTAAAAATGGTGTATAGGATTGTCCTCCCTCAAGCTGACAAATTACTAAAGTCGCCGAATGGTTTCAGAAACCATCGAAAACTACCGGCAGTATATTAAAAACCTATTGCAGTGGTAACTAAAAGCATTGCACAGTTTCAGCAGTTCATCAGTCTGAAGAAGGAGAATGCTGTCCACCATTTTTAGTAAAAGGCTCCCCATTTGTAAGTATGAGTTGTCTGTAAAATAGATGTTCTTAACCCAGGGACTGCTTATGTTTATCCAGCCACCTATAAATATAAATCCATTCATTCATATATTTTTATTCAGTGGTGTTTCAAAGTCTTGAAAATAAAAAAAATACTGAATTACTACTTTGGTCTTTAATCATACTGCTAATAAAACAAAACTAATAAATAAATTGAATTAAAATATAGAAGACTCAACTAACATCACAGAAATACACCTCTGGTACATTCAAGTCTTTAATTTCTATCTTTATTATTTGCTATATGCATCCTAAACTATTCAAGATAGTCCTTAGGTTTCATAAAAACCTTAAGATGAAGGCAAAATGCTGCAGAGGATAGCATCCAGTGTTTTCTTCATTAAACAGAAATAGTTAATATGCAGCAAAGAGTGTAGTATAAATAATTATAAGAAATAAGCAGTAAATAAGTAGCTTGTATGAGATTTAAAGTTAAAATAATTTTATGAACTGCATATAACCCTATGGAATTCATTGTTATTAAATCTATACTGGTCAATAAGACTATTTCATTTTTTTCTTTGACTGAACTAACTGTATCTCCATATTTCATTCATGGTAGACAAGAGACTTGCTCTGATATTTGCACTATAAATAATATCAGATAGTAAATCTCTCTAGTTCCATTACTTGAAATGCTGAGTCTTACATTAAGAAACTGTTGACTATGGTTTTTAACTGAATACTTTTTTAAAAGTGTAAGTAAGCATAAACTCATTAATTCCTAGCCTTCTTTAATCACTTGTACACTCAAAACCAAATAATGAAAAACGGAAAAGTAGATAAAGACATTTATAGCAATACAATTAAAATAATTTATAAACATAATTTAAATCACATATAAAACACATCTCATTTTTAAAAATAGTTATTTGAAATTCATTAACACTTTGTTGCAAAAACAATTAAAATTGTTTTGTTTTCCAAAAATGCCTTTATATACCACAGAACAGGAGTCCCAAATTTTCTAGGGCCTGAACTAACTGGCAGTTGGATTTTTTGTTAAGAATTATTCTCATAAAATATTTGTCTTAATTGTGTGTCATTGAAAAAAGTTAAACCTGTAGGCTCTAGCAACCTTTTTAAAAAGATGTCCTTTGGGAATATATGGATTATGTTCAGGACTGATATATTTGCTTCAAAATAATATTTAAAAAACAATAACCTAAAATCAGAACCTTGGCTGAAAGCAAGGATCCTCCCAACTTGTAGGAACTATGTTGAATATTTCAATTCTAACCATATAGAAATTAGCAGCTCTAAAAGGCATGTATGTTTGTCCTATCATTTGAACAAAATTCTTTTAATAAAATTTAACTGAACTTCTTAGCTGCATAAAAATATGTGTGCATGAATATAATTTTTTGCAGATGACTTATTCCGCTTGAAGAACCTATTGAGATATCATACATATTTTCATGATTATTACGTCCCAAAGAATGACCTATTCCAATGGGTAAGACTCCAACAGCAGTTTGGATCCAAAATATTTTTTAAAAAAATATTCAGCATAAATCACTATGTGAATAATCATCATTTAAGATTAGGTTTTGTTTAAATATATATCATTAAATATAGAATTTTTGCTCGTAAAAGGTCTTTCCATCTATGAAATAAAATTTCACTTCCAAAAGTACTCTTTCCTTAAAGTGACTGTTGTGAATAGAAATGCTTTCTAGTCATCACAGAGACTAAATGAAATCTAGTCAGTCAGTCAGTCAGTCTGCCTGCCTGCCTGCCTGCCTACTTGTCTGTCTCTGTTTGTTTGTGATGTTTTCTAACAACAATTTAACACTAGGATGCTGCTAATACAGCTGGGTAATAAGTAAGTCATAAAAAGGTCAGACATTATGATTTTTTAAAAAAATACACTGAAAATGCAAACAAAAGTTTTACATCTGTGAAACTTCAGTTTTAGGGCTACTGTTATCTAACTATTACTGGGTTCTGGTTAAAGGGCTTTACAATGGGACAAACTAGATGTGATGTTTGCTGTTTAACATGCAGCTTTAAAAATGCAAATATCAGATATCAAAAGGTTTATATTTACTAAAAGTGCAGCTAGCCAAAATGAAAAATTTTAAACTCTATTTCAATTGCAATGTTTTCCTAAATTTTGATCCTCTGAAGCTGTTATTTGCATTGGGAAGAAATTACCTTTTTACATCCATGCAGAGCAAAGGATAAAAAAGAAGCTACTGGTGCAGAAGCATTAAGAAGATTACTTCTGGTTGGTAGAAAAACAGCTGCCACAGGGAAAAAAAACTGTTAAATTTGTTAAAAGATAAAGAATAAAAAAAAAGAGCATGATATTAAATCAGAAGAAACAGCCAAGCATTTTGTTGCTTATGTGGTCAGCCACATACAAGAAACTCTCAGTGTCCTACGTATACCAATAAAGTTACCAATAAAGTTCTGAAAACACCAAAATAAAACTATTTTGGCATTCATAAAAATAACAATGAATAAGAAGGCTTCTTCATTAAACTTAAAGTGGGATCCACTTTAATGAAGAAACTTCCCTATTTCTTGTTTATTTCTTGTTTACAGTTGAAAAAACAAATTAAATTCAGCCAGTATCAAGACTTCAATCTTCTTCCAAGGGCTCTGTCTTTCTGCACATTCTTAAAAACTTCAATTGTTCTGAGTCCACAATTTTCTATCCTTAATTTGAGTTTTAATTTATATAAGATTTGTTGGGACAATGAGTAAACAGTCATTTTAAAAGCCACTTAACTCTAATAAAATAGGGATAAGAACATAATAACTTTCCATCTGGTAGCCTGGGCTAGGTAAGTATAAATGTATACTAAAATTCAATTAAAATGTTTATTAAAGCCCTTTCTTTTTTATTATCATTTTCCAATATTTATAGACTTGTACGAATATTAACATAATGTGTTTTGATGATTTAAGATTCTTTTCTTTGTTTAATTTTATAATTTCTCTTGATCAACATGCATCATTTCCATTCATAATTGATTGTAATTCTATACCTTGTTTTACTATAACTGATTCATCTTGGTATCTAACTAAAATGTTGAAGTTTTCAACTATTATGATTTATAATTTAGGCATTTGAGAATGCCTAAATGGACAACATCAAAAGGGAGAAACAAACTAATATTGTGCAAAGGACAAGAGATAACAGGAAAAAAATAGGTAAGTAGTAATAATCAAATCAGTAAGATTAAACACAGATAGCCCGGTAATTAAACAATAACGATAACAAATGCTTATTGTAGCATTAAACTATATAACATATATCTATTCTTACCAGAACTGAACATATTTTTATGTTTTATTTTGATAGCAATCAAATTCAGAGAAATGATCATAGCAACCGTTAACAGTGTTCTGCAGTTATCCATGCATTTGCTCATCACAAAATATGATCACATTTTCTGCATGCATCAACCTGTTGAGCATCTGGTACAACTGATTCACATACATAAACTTATTTCTGAATACAAACATTAATGGCAGGATCATGGTTACTGCTTAATTTATTCATGAAAGAAAATAATAATTACAATAAAACATCCCACTTTTTAATTAAAAAAAATATTAACCCCAATGCTGCATTACATTTTCTTGCTCAGACCAATATACAGTACTGGATACCTGCAATATACTTGTAAGATTCTCTACCCACCAACTGATTCAGATATTATTAAGCAAAGGACAAGGCAAACAACTGAAAAGCAGAAGGACTCAACCTCAATTTAACTGTCCTGTAAGGTACATACTAATTAGCTTCAAAGCTATGAAATCCTAGCTAGCATGTTAAGTCTGCTACATGACAGTATAATTTGCCTTCTTAAAGGATTATGCAAATTACAACTCATCATTCCATTACACGACTGAAAAAAGTGACAGCTAATTTATACATAACACACCTTTCAAATCCCTAAGATGTGAAGCACCTGTGCAATATATTTTGCCTAGGTTTTTCTGGCTTTAAGTACTTGTTTACTGCAATATACAGAAGCATACCTAAGAGATTTAATAAAGTCCTAGAGGTTTATTTATTTCCCTTTTAACTTCAAGAGCACAATTCCCAAGTATGAAAACAAAATACTGTATATCTGTTCCCAATTTCAAAGATATTTCATTCAAGGAGAAGTGTATGTTTCAATACATGTTCAACTTGCTATTCAGAGTGGGACAGCACTAATGCACGAGCCAGAAGAAAGACTCACACAGATTTCAACATACTTCTGGTAGGTAGATTCACAGTAGATTCCGTCATATCTGTAGATTTTCCTACATTCTGACTGGTTGGGTAGAGGTTGCTGGACAGTTATTCTGTAGAGGCATCAAAAACAGATATACATGACTAGAGATTCTCTACAGTCAACTGTAATGCAGGACATTTAGTACTTTTTGATGTACTTTTATTATATGTTAAATCTATCTCATCTTGCTATATTAACTACACTATAGATAAATAAATACAAATTAGATTCCATTACTGGAATACAATTGAAAGTATCTAAAATAAATTATTTATTACAATATATATTCTTGTCCTCAAAATGGATAAAAAGGGACATATATAAACCTTCAATTTTTAATGTACATTTGTATATACATACATACTGTATGTGTGTGTTATGTGTGTGGGTATACACACAAAAACAAAGAAATCAGATTTACTTGGGGGCTTAAGATGTTCAAAACTAATATAGAATTTGAAAATCTATCTACTTAATAGTCTATTCCTGTTTCCTATGATGACAAAACTCTGGCAAGCAATCTAATTGTCACAGAAATTAAGCATGCTACACAATTTTATAGTCTATAATTAACAATTAAATTCAAGGTTGCTTTTGTTTTTAATGATGGTTCTTAAAAATTCATATAAGATTCATTTTAGTTTTTAACCTGTTTGACCGATTTTATATTCATGGCATTGTATCAGTATACAAAATTAGGAATAATAGTTCAAAGGAAATAAAAGTGTTTCAGTTTGAATCTTTTTTCATCGGTTACTTTAAATCTCCATTAAAGTATAATCCCTATTTAGACCTTCCTTCTCAATATTAAAAATGTACTTAGGCAACTCAGCATAACTATTTCTTAATGTTTCTTTTTATATATTCTCCTTACTGAAGCTTTACAAAATTTCAAATTTTAGAACAAAATTAACATTAACATTCTTTGAATAAAATCAAAATGATGAAATCAAATTCACCCTCATGTACTACATGTAATCACACTGGGATTTCAATTAAAATAGAATTTAAACAGAAACTGATCCATTTATTTATTTAATTTTATTAAATTTGTTTGCTGCCCTTCTCACCATGAGGGTACTCCCATTCCATGTAAACCAAATTTTTTGATCCTATCAACTATATTACAGTTTCTGGAATATATGGTTTCCATCATGAACTTCTCAAAGTTTTTAAATAATAGTGTCATTTGGTTAGAAAAACCGTCAGTGTCTGTAGCTATATCTCAAACTCACACACAAAGAATATCAGTAAAATTCAACATCAATAGCTTTCATAAAGCAAACCACTAATTTAATTGACATTAATACATAAAATTCCTAATTCTTGCATAGCAATTACATTAAACAAGTGAATACCAGAATCTGAAGATTTGGTACCGTATATATTTCACTGACTATCATGCAAATCACCTGGTGAAAAACAGAAGGATTGCTAGTTAGAAGTAATAAAAAAAAAATGTGGGTCTTTTCATAAAGCTCGTTGCAGTCTTCCAGACAGCTTATCCTGAATTAATTTTGATAACTCATTTACCAAAAATAAAGTCTGATTGTATGAGTTCCATAGATCAAGCTGCATTAGCTATTTTTTTCTAGAAGACCTATAGTCCTTTTCATTTATGCATTTAAATTAATTTCTTCTGTATATTTTTCTGAAGTGAAGAACAGAGTGAAGAACTACCATTTGAGTCTAATCAATCTAAACTGATTAAGTGAAATCACTTTTTGATTCTCTTGGTATTTCCAAATAAAAATCTCATTCTCAGATGACAATCTTTTTGGCAAATTACCTCCATTGAGGAAAAAATTAATATTTTTATTCACTATGTATTAGCAAGCAGAACAGATACAAGTTAGGATTTTTTTTTACTGTAATTAACAATCTTCAGAAATTTAATGTTTATATCCTTGGGGAAGGGAAAGGAAAGGAAAGGAAAGGAAAGGAAAGGAAAGGAAAGGAAAGGAAAGGAAAGGAAAGGAAAGGAAAGGAAAGGAAAGGAAAGATGGTGGGTGGTGTTTTAAAAGAGATTACACATTTTCACTAAGTTTAAAAGCATCCTTTTATATATAGTTGATTTTGCACATCATTTTCTCCTCCCACCTTGACATGTTACTTCAATTCTAAATGGATGTATCATGTAACTTGAGGAGGAACTTTCAGTACATTTACATACATGTGAAACATGTACGGCTATGACTAATTTTAACTGACAGGGCAGAATTTAAATAATTAGTTACAAGAAGTCAAACTAAAGGAAAAAAGGAGGGAAGAGATGGTTAGAGGCAGAGTAGTAAATTGTTCCATTTTTGCAGGTAATCTAAATGCAAACTAGAAGCAACTTATCATGAGAATGGATTTTCCACCATCTGGTCAAATAACAGGGGATTTGTCTAGTGGCAAGCAAAGAATGGAATGATGTGAGAAAGATTAGCGGGCAAGTCCTACAGTTGGCTAAAATGTATTTTGTGCAAACAAGAACAGATGACGCCTTAACAATTACACCTGTCAAAAACTCCAGAAAGCAATCCATCTCTGAACAGCCCAGTTGAAAACAGGCTAGTTCATAACAAAATGAATTTTTTTAAACAATTGCCAGCCATAACAGTTTGATGCATGACAAGCTTAGGAAGTCATATTCCACGTTCAACTGAAACCTTAACTAACTAAACTCTGGCTTTTTGTGATAAGTAAGATATTAAACTGGGGGGAAAATACAAGTAATACAAATAACTGTAGCATCTCAAAGGTAAAGAAAGTTGGTGTTTCCTTTTACCACACTACTATGTATAAGCATTCTAACCCTCAAAATGGTTTCTCTGGTTTAAGGGCAAACCTCAATCTGAGGGTGGAGGTATGTTCTCTGAGTTTGGAGAAGCTTGGGAATGTACCTCCTCTCTCATCCTACACCTAAGCTACAGATATTTGCTACTATCGCAAATCTCAATCTCTGTATTATGAGCACTGTATTTAGCAATAGCTTTTACCAGTCTGTTATTGCTCACAAGTAATCTATGAATAGAAATAGATTCTTCTGCAGACCAAACAACATTAGAGTTTGTTGGGAGACAAGGTCTGTCAATCATGGTCCTTTCAAGAAATTCCTAACTTACTTTGCTGGCAATTTTCTTCCTCAGAGAGTAGTCAGTCAACTACATTTAACTTATTCAAGGAAGCAGAAGCAGGGCAAAGTGATTGTGTCATGCTAGAGGTCTTGATTTTAAGAGAAAGCAGATTTTAAAGAATTCAGAACAGTAGTAAAAACTTTTGGGAAAAGAAGCTCATAAGAAATGGAACTTCCTGGAAAATGGTAGACAGAAAGTGCTATTGCAAACAATTTCTGAGTTTAAAAAGTTAAGGAAAGTAGCTTGGCTACTAAAATTCAATCCCTTTATCAGAAGAGGCCAATAGAAGGCATTTTCTGTAAAGTGGGGGAAAAAGTTTATTTTTGTGTGGGAAAGTCTAGGGAAAGTTTTACATTTAATGTGTTAGTGTGTATGTTTGGACTGAAGAACACTGGGCAAGCTGCAAAGCACCCAGTGTAAATAACACAATAAAAATGAGGATGATTGGTTAAAATGCAACAGACAGCAACATTCTAAGCCAGTGTCCTACTAACTCTTCACAGAGATACAGAGGTGGGGTATTATAGTAATAGTACTTTATCTGCTTCTTCCATCCTATCAAATTTAGTCCATTCTGTTGTATTCAACATCTTCATTGGCAGAATTTCTCATCCTTCTTTCTGAATTCTGGCCTTCAACACCACCCATTATTCTCTGCCCATCTCCCAAGTCACTGATGCTTGTCAACAGGTATTTTTCTCTCAAAAATGGGTTGCTTTAAGAAGACGCTCAGACACATCTTAACATGATAAATAAACCTAATTTATTTATTTTTAAGTGTACACTAAATTATGTGGCATATGTTTATTTATTTTTGGAAAGTTTATTATCAGTTATTGACTATCCTATGAAAAATACAATAGGTTAAAGTTTTCAGTGTTATTTGTTTATATTCATTTTGAAATGAAATACCTTTCCAAAAAAATCAGCATAAGATGTATCACTTAATACTGTAAAACAAGATGTTATTTTAAGTTATTATGACAAAAAATTCTGCTCTTTTTTTCCCACTGAAGGACAAAAAAAATTACTATTTGTTTTGCCAAATGCTTAAACTTCGTCTTCATGCTGGATATTCATATAAATTTTTAATATGTTAGCTACTAATTTTAAAAAGTAGATTATAGGCACAGTGCATCACATATAAAAACTTCAGGAACATACTCAGTAGGCAGTAAAATAAAAAAACACTTTATTAGGAGAAATATGTCATGGTCCAAATTAGAAGTACCAAATTAATGATCAAGTGTTTACTAGCTACAGCAAATGTGTTATAACATTTGTTGTTGTGAAACTTGTTTTTTTTCAAAAGTTTTTTCAGTATTAAAATAGCTGTACTGGAAGAATGTTTTGAAATCAGAAAAAAACACAGTTCTTCATGAGACCTTTGAATGCTATTCTTATATGTATGCATCCAAGTGATAAAAAAAGGTTGCTTCTCATTTTCTTTTTAATCAATTAGTGTATGCTAATAAGGCACACTGAAATATTGTTTCTTTTCTAATGATTGCACTGTTGCATCTTTTATTTCTTACTCCTACAGCCTACATTTGAAACTTAAATTCTCTAGAATATATGGAAGTGGGTTTTTTTCTATGTGTCTTCTGTGCATTAAAAATACTGAAATATCTTAGCATGAGCAACAGAGAACTGTAATCTTCAATCAGTATTCTTCAATACTTATTTTCCAGACTTTTGTAAGACTGACCCAATGGCAAAAGACTAAACTTTTGACCAGCGAAGCATTTTAGCGACGCAAGAGATACCACACATGGTATTTTACAAATTCAGCAAGATAAGCCATTAAAAGCTGGCCAATAGGTTTTCTTTTCTTTAATTTATAAAATTAGTTTTTTAAAATACTTGTATTTGTAGACAGCATGGACCAGTTATACTATGGGTCATTACAACCCTCATTGAAGAAGCTGTGGAACATTTGATGGGGGCA